ATTTTATCTCTTCGATAAAACAGTGAGTAAATGGAGTTGATCTGAAAAATGTGACGTATTTGCGCTATACGTTTAGAATAATCTAGTCACATATACACTTGTCAAGGTATATGATATGAAAATTAATAAAGGCCAATTGAATGAGGGTTCAAGTAAAGCAAGTAAGAATTGTTAATAAAAGAGAAAGAAAAAAATTAACATCGTGTGGAAAGGATAAAAAATTGTCGCACTATCCCATGCCATAAGATTTCTTAACGATTACCACGGGAAACTCAAGATTACGACAAATTTATTTCTGTACACATAAGCGGGGTTTGAATTTTCGAATACCCAAGGCTTCTATAAACCTGAGAGTTCGTCCTTGAAAACTTCTATACAACATTTAAAAGTCTGGATCGATTTCAGTTCTGTGCGTCCTACTATCGATGAACATTGTTTTCTACTTCCCACATAAATCGGAACATTTAACATTAACTGATTTTCCTACCATATCGGCATATCTTCCATAATCCTTGATTTCATTGTTCGATTACTCCTTCCTATGTATATGTCCGCGAATGTAATGGGATATGACGTAATCATTCGTGCATTGCCTATGTCTATTTGGAATCATGGTTTAAGTCCTTACGATCACAACCAGTTTAGCGAGATAATAAGTTTTCTCTATCTTAAACTTATACTGTTAGGCTCACCCCTAAATGTTAGAGAGATATAAACAGTTCTCTTCGGAACAGAATGAAAGACAGCTTTTGGTGCTGAGTGACTTTTGCATCTACTGACAAACTTTAGTGGATAACCATTTACTATAAGTGTGTCATTTAGTAGCTTTGAGTCCTATTCAACCGTATCTGTGGTGCAGATTTATTGAATCCTATTAAAGATGTACTTAACCAAGGCTCGCTTGTGTTGCAATGGACGGAAACTGCAAAAATTTAAATACTGATCTGCCTACGTTAGCTTCCTATAAACTGACTGCCTTGTAGTTCGATCCTCCCTTCAACTTTAAAGTATGTCTAAAAAGGGCAGCCGGTCATTACTTTCTTCCCCATACGTCATTACGATATCATTCTGTACACTATTGAGTTTAGCTGTTTACTGGGCAACATCAAAATCTTTATCGCATATATCTAATACATTATCCATTTATCTCCTATGAAGGGTTACCTCACTAATGAGCTTACTCGAGATATATCAGTATATGGCATAAATTCATCAGCTAAGAGAGGTCCCGAACAGCTACCCATAGTAACGTTATCACCTTCTCAAAAATGTTCACCTTCAAACGTGAACTGAACTTAACATAATAAAAGTAGTTTTTTCTACGGTGTTGCTAATTCGTGTGTAGGTGAACGACATACAAATAATAGTCGTAATGGGTTGTTAGGTTTTAGCAAATCAAATTCCTCTTTGTTTATGACATTCACTTTAAGGAGCTTCACTAGATTGGGATTTACCCTGGATTCTCATTATGTAACATTAATTTTGAATAGAACTTCCGACAGGAACTTATTCTGATTATCAAGTATTTGACTTTTATTAATTTTCATATAAAATGCCTTGACAAGTATGTTTGTGACCAGACTGTTTTAAATGTATAGCGCAAATACATCACATTTTTAAGATGAAGTTCTTTTTCTCATTATTCTATCAAAATTTATGAAAGGAACTAATTGCTTTACATTTTATCTCTATCGAATCATGATCCAGTTAGAATTATAATAAATAATAGATCCATCAATCAATTAAGATTTTCTAATAAATCAAGTCATTTTATTCTTATCAGTTTAGGGGTTGTGGAGATTGTTAAGTTTTTGATTGAAATCATGAGTCAATTGAAGCTAGATCACCATAGAAAACCTGGAAGCACTGAAAGATCGTCTCGTCCTAGTATGTGCTCACTAGTGACTATCTTCGTGAGAAAATTCTCGGAGTTCTGGTAGGAAGCTGTGACCAGTGGAGTTAATCTGTATCGGGTAGAAACAGGTGTCTACCTCAGTACAATGGAAGATGGTAGCGCAATTTCGTGGGTTGGTTGAGGTTAGACATTAACACCATTGGATGCCGGCTCAGTGGTCTAGTTGGTTAAGTGCCTGGCGCGTGACTGATAGGTCCTGGGTTCGAATCTCTCAGGGTGCGGGATCGTGGATGCGTAGTGCTGAGGGGTCCCATACTAGAACGAAAAGGCCGTCCAGTGCTTCCAGGTTTTCCATGGTGATCTAGCTTCAATTGACTCATGATTTCAATCAAAAACTTAACAATTTCCACAACCCCTAAACTGATAAGAATAAAATGATTTGATTTATTAGAAAATCTTAATTGATTGATGGATCTATTATTTCTTATAATTTTGGCTTCATCATTTTATTCTCCACTGTTTGAATGACAAACTTAGTGTGTTTATTCTTTTCCAGTGTTAACGGGTAAAAAATAATCACTGGAAAGAAAACAGTATATGAGTAGATATCCGCTTTAATAAAAAGCTTTATTTTTTTAAAGTAACATATTAACTTAAATTCTAACAAAACTATTCAATATTCTAGTTGAATAATGTTGTTTTAGCTGTCATGGTAATTTTATATTACCAAAATAAAAGAAAATAATATTTCTATTTATTGACGAACTAATAAATATTTCTTTAAAAATCGTTAAATTTTTCTCTTCTCCTCTCTCTCTCTTCTGTTTCGTTATTTACATATAAAATCTTTAGGAAAAAAAAAGTTTGTTATCATGGGCATAATTTCTATAGATCGATAAGTTGACTACAAAAACATTTACAGTGAATATATATATATATATATATATATATATATATATATATATATATATATATTGCCGTGAAAGTAACTAGAATTGGTAATCATTTTTTGGTATAGAAAATATAGTGTTAAAGTTTCATAGTTCTTAACGAAAGCAAAAGAAATACATATATATCAGGTTGTTTAAGTGATTTAAAAGTGTCTGATCTATTACGTAAATTCATTTCAGAATCATAAGGCAATAAGAATATCAACAAGTGAAGTAAGAGAATTTGTCTGGTATTAAGTAATACGAATAAAATCACCAAAGATGTAACATACTGTAGGTTATAACTTTTTAAGAGATTTAATTACTTAAAAGCCAAACTAAGAGTAAGTAGGTTTATTATTCCACTGAAGATATTAATATATTATGCTTTTGTGAGTGTTGATTGGAAATGATAATCATGATATTGAATTTAAGGTAATTTTCAATGAAGAATGTTACAATTAACGGTTCTTGAGTGATCAGTATTACAATAACTTCTTTGAACAGATAAACTCTTCGAAGATTTTTGTCGACTAACACAAATAACGTTTACTTTACCAAAAGAAAAGGATAACTACATTTTATAGTCATATTATTGTCATCTAGTAATCTTTTAACGGCTTTATTGTCACGAAAGTATAAATCTATAAATTAAAGCACGGTGTTATTTTCTTTATTTCTCCTGGACGATATTTTATAGTTAAATAATAACAAATTTACAAAACTTTTAGCTAAAAGATACAAACATTTCGTGATATTAAGTTTAGTTGCCCTGTCGAATTATGCTCATTTGTTATAGAAATTCAAATGAAGACTAGATTATTAAAATCTTTTGGAGAACTTTATATACTGTCGAAGTTATTTACATGTCCGACTATTTTTCTTACGATAGCTACCAAATAAATCTTATCAGTTCTCTAACGAATCAGTGGCTAGTTGATAATCTGACCGAGATCAAAGCATATTTTTTCGAAAACCAAATGACGATGACAATTTTTTTATAAACTAAGAACGTTCATATATCACCTGAGTTTTGGTATTTTATTGTTGTTGACAGGTAACAGAAATACCTGAGCGAAAAAAGGAAACTTAATAAGAATAAGAGTGGGATCAAATAAATTTACTATTTTAAACGATTGTAACACGATCAGATATCTTCATTCGAAAATATACATTAGTTTGCAGTATAACAACCGAGAAATGTTTCGACAAAGTAAATTCTTTTAAAGTGAAACCAGAAACATCCATCAGATGAATTTTAATGGCGTTTCACTCCATTAATTGAAATATACGACATATGTGAAAGCAAACTGGTACATTTCCTTAAAGATTATTTATATTTTCAAGAAGCTTATCATATGCTTGAAAAAAACTATTTACTAATATTTAATACCATTCTAATTACTTCGTCTACATTGGATCTATAGTACATCAAGTAAGAAATGATGATAAACAATCAAACTATAGCACGTTTTCAATTATTAATATGGTGGATAAAATGATAAACTTGACTACGCATTGAATTAAAATATTTATTTTTACTTAACAAAAAAAATGATTCCTGAGAATGTATCTTTTCTTTGACGAATAATAACAATTCTCACTTATCTTCATTTTTGCCAAAGCTAATAAATTTTGGACTGTGTTTTTTTGTTTTGTTAGAGAGCATCTTTAAATACATTTATGAAAAATTGAATAAATTGTTTTTCTTTCAAATATAAACAATTTCTGTTTACTATTTCACTAAATTAAACGTAAGGAACACATGAAGAAAATTTACAGGTTGCTTTACTTTCCATAAAACATTATGAGTGGAAGACATCTTTATCAACAAGAACAACAACAACAAAGAGTGGATATCAAAGTAATGCAAAAATCATAACTGATTAGGCTATTGTTTTTTTCTTTTATAGCTACAATGACAAGAAAGAAGCAAGCCTAAATTCATGAAAGTAATGGTAAAAAGGAAAGAAATGAATAATGTGATAGAAGAAATAATCTTTCACACATGATAAAGTGCTAGTGGAACAATATCAGATACTAATTTAAGGAAAACGTTTGAAAACTCAAGAGGAAATATTTCACCAGAACAAAAATCGAACCATTCCACATATGTACTTGTCATAAGTAAAACAATATTCTATTATACTAACTTCAACAATATATATATATATATATATATATATATATATATATATATATATATATATATATAACTCAAATACAAAGTAGTTTTTCATAAAAACATGAAAGTAGATTAAAGTGAAATAAAAAGGAAAATTGGAAACTTTAAATAGTCAAGATAAACACTTCAAAATTACATAGAAGAATATGAAAACCAAAATGGTGAGAATGAAATAAATCATAGAAATAGTATGAGTTATTAATTCTATTGAAATAATTTGAAGAAATACTTGGTAATTATATATATATATATCATTGGTCCAATATATCCACAAGATTATCAATGAAAAGTAACCAAAAAATCGAAAACAAACAGTAATGAGCAGAAATATAAGCAAAATGAATTAGGAATAATTTAAGGCAGAATAATTCCAAAAATCAGTTTATGGTATACCTCTTTTTAATCTATGTAGAACAAGAGATATTGCAATCATTAGGAGTTATTACTGTTTGTTTATAAGACTGATGTGTCAAAACATGTGAGCAGCAGTTAAAAATTTGGGTATTCAATGCGTAGCAAAATGTTAGTAAGTATGCATGCATGCTCAGTCTGCATAACTTGTGCGTCTACTCTCATATGTATTGCTGCTAATTGCTACTTACTTACTTACTATATACTAGTTTCTATTTTTTGATTTTTGATTCCAGAAGATTTTGTATTTTTTCAAATGAATCAGAACCCATATAATCCATTTGCCCACGTTCCCATGCCAATTGTCTTTCAGATTCATCACTGGCTTGAGTCAAGCTTGAGGAAGATTGACTTATCTCAATCTGAGCCAATTTACCCACAAAATCGCTCTGTTAATTTTTTCCGGAAATATATAAAAAGACAAGTAAACCATTTCACTACTCTATAAAAAAATAATAATTAATGTTAGAATAAACCAACTACAGTTAAAATGTAATGGCAGATACATAGGTGATATAACTACTTCAGAGCATCGACAACATCCACAAAATAATTCTTACCTGCAGCGTTGATAAAGTCTATAAAAAGTTAGTTAGGACAGACAAATATCATTTCAACGGTTGATTTTTGTAAAGGAAAACAAAAATGAACTTTTCAACAAACCAGCTATATTCAAAATAACAAAAGAATATCCATGTAAAATATCTCCTTCCATTCAAAACTGTAAATAGTAACCTCAATGAAATATTAATGAAACAAATTCGCTTTCATAAGCCCAGACGGGTGAAAATGTGATAAATATGGTTAGAAGTCTCCAATATAAAATTTCGTTAGTAAAGTGTGAGTTTTATTATTATTGTAAAAGTTAAGGCGTTGAGACTTCCATCAAATTAGGAACATCACAAACGTGACAAATTCCATTTTAAAACAATACTGTGTAGACAAGGCATCTTAAAAACAAGGAGAGATGTAGACTTATTACGTGTCAATTTAGAAATAGTGGTAAAACGTGGTTCCTTTATCTGAAATAAAGCTATTAACTTTAAAATAACATGACGATAGAGTTACAGTTGATGGGTTTGCAGCATAGTAAATCTGCCCCCCTCTATCAATACGTTTGATCTCACAAACCAATAAAATTTAAGCAACGGTACTTACGTAACTTCTGATGAAATTATTATCACTAGGGTCTATTGTTTTTGATAATGAATGATAACTCACATTAACTGTTCAATACTCCTGTGTGGTAACTAGCTTTTCATTTAGTATTATTTGGTGGCAAAGAGTGAAACTTATTCCCATAAACAAAGGATAGAGATTATTACATACAACAAGTGAGTGTAATTAATCATGCTCGACTCAATTTAAGGATTATTATTGATGAATTTTGAAAGAATTTGTAATAGTATCAAGCGAATATGCGTTACCTACGATAGGAAAAGTGCTCACCATGTTATATGATCCTATTAATTCCAAATACCTACTAGCTACTATACTATTTAGAATAGAAACTTAATATATGGGAAGATCTATTTTAGATTTCAACGAATAAATTAAGTAAATGATACTATTAAATATCGTTTGTGATCTAACATTCCAGTGAACTTAGTTTTTCCTCTAAACAACTGATTCCCACAAACTTGTATCTAGTGTAAATAAAAATCATAAACTGATCATATGAAGCATCCACATAGGTAAATTTTAGGCTCTTAGTACGACAGAAGTTAGTGCTTAACCTGACAGGTAATAGACTACCTTAATTCAGAAGTTTTGATAAACACTTCTCACATGTTATAAAACACAAAGAGAATTTGAAGGGATTTGGTATTATCAAGTTATTCAGCCTTTCAGTGATAACCGAATACAAAATTGGAACTTTGACAGTACTCACTCAGAAAGTATGGTTTTGAACATGGAGCTATTGACCTTACTTATAACACACGGTAAATATAAAGTAAAACTACAAAACAGTTTTCATTCGTTATTAATAAATATCATAATTAAAAAATTAAACTCCTTAATATTTCTCAAAGGTTTGAAGAGATTCATTTTTCAACAAGATATGATTATTTTTGGTTTGTAGAACCATTCTGTCCGATAAATGATACAAGTAAAGTTCCAAATTGTTATATTTGGTTTAATAATGGTGTATTGAGGGACGTATTCATGAGTAATTCACTTACCTCACCAGGGATTAGTTTTGGATGAACGTGGGTCATAAATAAATTCCACCAGTGCTGCAAAAATTCAGGAGTTCCAACACTTGTGGGATCACGAACAATGACTTGTCCGAATTTGTCCAGTTCACAGTGCCAAGGTTTCTCAGACCCAATAAAATGAACAACACGAATTTTATTACGAAAATGAATAAAAGCAGGTGGATAGGAGTAAAATGCTTGGCTGATGACATTGTAAATGAACGGTAAATGAAGACGAATATCTTTGGTTGCCCAGTCGGAGAAGAAGATATTCAGCAGACCCTGAAGATAAAAAGGTGGAAAAAAAGGTTGACTTCTTTTGAAAAATCGGAAATCATGACTAATTTTTCACAATCCACACGTACTTTTCAATCCAACATTAAATACTACATTTTCATATCAGTAACAGGTATAATGCCTAAATTATTTACACGTCTCCTTAATATGAAGTAATAAAACAAAATATTTAAAACTTTTATTTTAAGGTGCTCGATCACCTTAATATTAGTTCAGATAAGTGACTACTTCGCATGCTGTTGTCAAATCAAATATAAATGATTCTCTCTAACTTTCTGAGATTGAAATTCTATGATCTAGATTCACAAGAAAGAAACGAGTGGACAGACAACTATTGTGGACGCAAAATGGCCCAGTTTTAGCACTGAAATAGAATAAATCAACAATCCCTAAATCTGAATAAGTCTTGTGAAAAGGATTTTATTACGGGATCCATAAATTATGTTGCAACTATATTATTCATTAAATATTATCAAACTACATGACGGACTAACCATATGCACTTAGCAATCTACACCTAACTTCAGTGTAACCCATTCGGTAGTCTCATCATCTGTATATCAGTCGGTCATACATAACGTAGAACTGGAGTACATATCCATCAGTTAAAGTTGTCACAACACATCAGCACAGTGGGAAGCCAGAGTAGTAGAATTCGTAATAGTATCGATATACGCTAATCCTGTAGAAACATTTTAGCAAATAAAATCAGCCCAACGCACAAAACTGGATAACATGCATTCAAATTCAAGAAAACTTGATTACTGACGTAATACAAAAACAATTTTCTATTCGTACCCTCCTGTGTTAAAACAATAATAAATCCCTGGGCTGGATGATTTGGTCGTGAGACTTCGATTAGTCTTCTAAACATCACCATCAGTACAAACTTGAAGTAGAAGTGAAGGATCCGCATTTCTCCACATATGACTCAGCTTTTCCTGTCAACCTTCAACATGTTGTTATCTGCCCCTTTATTTTGATTCTGATTCTTGGTTCTATATTTGTCCTTAACCTTTTCTGACCCACATGCACTACAAATCTTCTCCATCACTTTAAAATCATATGAGCAAAGCGCGCTCCTCGTCGTTCGAAAACGGGAACTTTTTGCCAAAAGACAGGCTTCCGTTCGAGAACTTAACCTTATCCAAGAGTATCTTCATCCGCATGTTTTGCTAAAAAGTGTAAGATACGGAACACCGATCAACTGACCAAGTGGACGATTAATAGCTAACCAAGGTGGAAGGAAAATGGTACACCCTATGGTAAGTTATGAACATTACAGAATCCAAAAATACCAACACATCATGGATGACCAAAGAAGGACAACGGCGATCGAGGTATCAAGCAGATAACACAGAGAACGAAGAAGAGACACCCTTAAAGAAAAATCTATCAAGATTTGAAAGTCACCCACAGAAGAAAACACAAACAATCGCGTGGTCAACCTATCAAAACAACCTCTGAAGAACAATTCCAAAAAGATAAGATTACAATACAAGTGACGCCTCAGAACCAGAATTCTTCGCCGCACTAGGATTACCACTCAAAACTGCCAGAATAAATGAAGAAACTCAACAGGATATAAGCCAAACCATAGTACCACCAACTCGAAAGAAGAAAGATAACACCTAACCGACCGCACAAGAACGAAAGGCCTTAAAGAAACTCAGAAGTAGGGAATATATTGTCATAGTTCTAGTGGAGAAAAGATTTACTATAAGGAAGAGTATATCAGTAAAGCCGACGAACTACCTGAGAATAAAAGCATATATAAAACAATCAACACAAGTAAATATCAAGGATCTTAAACAAACTTATTAAAGCAGGTCAAATATCAAACCAAGATCAATGAAGAATGAAATCTAGTAGACCTGTACTCCGACTCTACGGTAGGCCAAAAATATACAAACCAAACATTCCACTAGGTCCAATCGTATCACGTCCCGGAACATCAGCATACAAAGTATCAATAAATTTCAATATTTAAACATTAGGTGGATCCATCCAACCACTCCATCAAACCTCCCATACAATTCTTGGATAGGACTAAGGAGATTTAGATCAACAACGACAAAATAATTATATGCTCCGACGTAGCAGCCTTACTCACCTCAACTGCATCAAGCTTGGCAAAAGAAACTTTATTCCTGCTCCTCAAAAATGATACAAATCTCCCTAAGTAAATGAGGCTTCAAAGTCTACTACAACTCATCTATTAATGTCTGACAATATATTTTTGACTCAATAAAATCTACGAATAAACAAAAGGAACACCGATAGAATTACTAATATCAGGACTTATCGCAGAATCAGTAATGCAGAGACTGAAAGCTTCGATTTCACCAATGTTCAAGTCATAAATGTAGATTCGTTTTGTGGACAACACATTCATCAACACCAAAAAGGAAGAGCTGAAGAACAACCATAATCTGATCAGCAACGTCTTCGATCATGTAAAATTCACAATAGAAAAAGAGTCGAACAACAAACTATCATTCTTGGGTGTACTGATCACCAGAACCAATACAGGAAAACGGAGGACTAAAGTATATCAGAAACCAAACTACACAGACCAAATTCTCAACTACGGTAGCAACAACTCAACGATTCACAAAATCAACCGCGTACAAACTTTAGTCGAGAGGAGGGGTAAATATACTGCAGAGAGAAAAAATGTCTGACGAATATCTTCCAAAAGAACGGCTCACTGCACAAATTCAGAAACAAACGTCAAGCCAACTCATCTGTAAAAACAAAATCGAGTATAGAAACTAGCAAACAGACCATTCTACCACGCGTAAAAACATATCAAAAAGTACAGAGCGATAATTGAAGGCGTAAGGCACAATCAGCAGAACCACTTCGATAAATCCTATCCAAACCAAAAGATGGAATAAAAGAAGAAGAAAAACTGAACGTCACCTACGAAATAAACCATTATGATTACATAAAACACTACATAGGATAAAATGGACGACCCCTCTATCTTCGTCTGGATGAACATCAATTGGCGTTAATACGCCATGACATACCTTCGGTTACATCAATCAATATGGACAACTACGGACACATTTGACTCGACAAATGTTGAAATCATGAAGTGGAGGAATACCTAGAACACTAGGGAGTTTCTAGAAGCTTGGTGCTCAAGTCAGTTAGCAACCAACGAACACAGTTAAATCTATCCAGTCCATCGACGAATCGGAAAACTCGTAGACAAATATAGGACTGAGAATCAGATCAAAAGGAGATACAAACAAAATAAAGAAACAGACAACAACAGGTTAAACGTCAACAACAAACGATCGAGGTCGATAGGATAGGCTGAGTCATGTGTAAAGAAATGCGAACCCTTCACTTCTACCTCAAGTTTGTGCTAATGATATCGTTCAGAAAAACAACGAGAGCCCCAAGATCAAACCACCCAAGTCATAAAACGAAACTCCACTAAAAGCATACACCTAAGCAGCAAATTTTCTCCACTATCACGGTAAAAATATTAAAACTTGCTTGATCGCCCCCATCAAAGCTTCCATGGCTAACAGCAAAACTTAGTATCTTCTTGTATGTTTCCAATGACGGTTTGAAAACAAAAACTCCGGAATTGAAACAGTCTGGCCAACCTGGATCCGGAGCAGCACTGAGTTCCTCCCGCTCAAATAAATCATCAATATTTTTCAATACCTAGTATAGAACACACAAACGGAAAACAGGCATTCATTTCAACGTTTTATTTGTTAAAAGTCAGACATAAAAATGGAATACGCCTGTTAAGTTACAACATGGTGTTTTTAATACAGAATGATCAGTGAATAATAAACTACAAACTAAAATAATGTAGTAATTCAGGAAATTATGAATCTATGAAACATGAGAAATAATGAACAAAGTAGATCCAAAGTCTGTTCGACCTATGTAAATGCAATACGAACCACTGTATATAAGAAAAAACAATTAAAGGGTCTAGTGGTAGAATGTTTTTAGACCTTTGATCGTTCTCGCTTACTATCAAAGTAAAACTTTGCACGCTATCAAGAAACAAGATAGTGTAAACAAAACTTAAAAGTCAGTAAATATCAAACTAGACAAGAAACGAACGAGGAGACTAAGCACTTCTTTCGCGAAAGTAACAAGCTCCCATTTTGTAGACTCAAGTAACAAAATGTTATCTTACATATAACTACGTCTTCGTTTAAAGTAAGATTAACACAATGATCACTAAATCAATTCATTCACACTATATCGTAAGTTTAGTGAATCACCGTATGTAGTACAAAACAGAGCGGACTAAAACCCCTCGCTGTATAAGAGCAGCAATACGTGTTTTTTATCACTTCCATTACAGATACTTAGTGCTCAATATAAGAACGTAGTATATTGAAAAAAACCTCATAGTTACTGAGGTAAATAGTAAGACAAAAACAAAATTCACTTTCGGTGCACAAATGTGGGATAAATAATGAAGATATGTGCTGTGTAAACCTATCATTACACACTTAAAATGAGACTTAGTGTAAGTCAGAGAACACGTTGGGTGAAGAAACTTTGAATAAAACGAAAGGAACATAAAAGATACCAATATATTACGACATCGTCATTGAGTACAGAGAGCAAGGGATGTCACGCGTTTTTAGTTTGTTACACACTAACTTACAAATAACACTAGAACGACACTTCAGATCAATCAGTTTAGGGTCGTTAAGATTTGTAGCTGGCGAATGACTCAACCAAAAGCAGTTAATCAGTTCAAAAAACTCATTACAGAAGCATGTAATCACAGTATCACTTTGACTAATGCTAGCTATTTTATTTAAACCCTAATAAATCTCCGTGCAAGTGAGTTGTATGTTAAAAATCAATATTAGTTCAAATATCAGCAACCAATAATGTAAATTACCATGGTGTCAGCATCCATAAAAACAGCTTTCGTATACTGAGTTAATCTCCAACAATGAAGCTTTGTGAAGGTTACCCCCAAGTCTGGTCTCGAAAGTAATGCTAAGTTCGTTTCGTCTTTGCTATCAAGTACATCAACGAATTCTACATGGTCAAATACAGACCCCATAATATCTCTAAGAATAATACAATAACAGCAATTGATTCATACAGCATTTGCTTTGAAACCTGTTTTGTTGCCAAACACACAACATGTCTCGTCGTCTTTACTTCACGCAATGAATGTGCCCAAACAAGAGCACCACATGCGTATTCATCATTTGTTGCTAAAGTAACGAATGCTTCACACACTACAACTTAATAGCAAAACATTATATACTTACTGTTACTCGATAGGAAGTGAAGATTAATAAGGTGTAAGTTGCAACTCCGTCAGAACAGCTGAAACTTGTAAAACTACTCGTACCCTACACGTTTTTTTATCATGTAAATAGGGTATTAAAACTAAAACCATCCGTCCAATATACAATTAAGTAAGTAAGAATTTTTAACTTCTGTGTTTTGAGCCCGTAATAAGAACAAAAATCTCAATCAAAATATTACACTGCCTTTGAACGAATACTTGATTTCAGCATGTGTGGTATACATTTACATTCATGGTTTCATTCTCAAGGTAAATTTAGATTCGTATTCGTGAATTGAGGATCAAAGGCCTACATTTCATATCATCCAGTTTATGATAGGCTTCAGCGAGTGTTTATTTTTTCCCTGATCGAGTTAATTGAGGGGGTGAATACTACTTCTTCAAGTAACTAGTCCCAAGAATTAACGACTCGATATGAAAACTTGTATGTTATGGTATTTTGTTCATTCTTGGCTTTTTACATTCCTGTATGTCCTCTGAGTTCTCTCGATCTGACAGCAAGAAATAAAAGATATGTAAGCTTCAAAATCATTTTCTGATATTTTATACATAAAGGTCAAATCACCTCGTAATCTGTGGTAAGACAGAGTAAACAGGCCTAGCCTTTCAAGTCACTCTTTGCATGGTAAAACCTGGAGTTCTGGAATTGCACGGGTATCTGCCCTTTGTCTTTTTCCAGGTTATCCGAGTCACCGTTTCAACAGGGGCTTGCAATCTGAATGCAGTTTTCAAGTTTATTTCTCACTAAGGTTGTGTTTACTATAGTGAACATTGTAGTATCTAACCTGATAAATCTCCGTCTTAAATCCCGTAGCGTTCCTAACCCATTAGATGAAACGTCCCGGCAGTGAGCCATGGTCTTAAGATAGTGACCCACTGTCACTTCAAGATCCCTGTGAGACTGGACCACGGGTACAGGCACTTCCCCTATTCTGTACCTATTAACCTTTGTATCCCCAAAGTGCATGAAGACATACTTGGTCGTGTTAATGGACATCAGCCATTTTTCTGACCAGCTGATCAGAACATATAAGTGGGTCTTCTCTGATTTCTCACTAGATTTTACATCATCAACGTTTAGTAGCTAGTTAAATCCACTATATGCGTGAACTAAACAAACTCCCATGAATATGGGAGGCGAAAAATATCCACGGCTGAGGATAAGCGCTTAAACAGTCGCGTGATTTATAATAAAAACAGAACTTCAGGCATAGATATTTTAGTGGATATCAGTACTGCGCTTAGTTTCATTCCTCAGAATAAAGCCAGATTTGGTCGAAAATTTTCCCTACTTACACTTCAAGCTACCACCTACATTGAAATCACGACGTCTGGGCGGAAATCATTGATTCCAAATTCGAGGTTTATGTTGCCGTTGCTCTGGGTATTTCCTCTATTGGACTTAGACATGAAAAAACTGCAAATGGACTTCTGGTAGGGATATGAACTTCTAGTCGACACCAAGAAACGATGTTTGACACTTGACGAAACTTCGATTTGCATATAAGGCATATAAGTCGCCCCTGTACATATGTTAACAGCTTCTCAAGCGACCAAAGCAAATCTCTGGAATATACACGCGGAACATCCAAACATTACCAAATCTAACCCTTAACCTTCCGAACGTACGCCGAAAAGAAACGAAGAATTTTCTACCGAGGTGAGACTGGAGCTCAGGTTACCTGGATTCGCCGCAAAGAAAAGAAAGCAATGTGGAATTGAACGAAATTTCTGTGAACGCCTACAACAAACCAAGCCAGTGAACTCCCGAAATGTTAACGAATTCTGAAAATGGTCCAGGCCTACTTGACTAGATCACTAGATAATCTATAATGTTTGAGGTGCTTTATAGCATGTACCATTTTGTATTCATTTACATCAATAATATGTAACATATCACGGAAACTTCACCACTAAACTCCTATTCCAAATATGAAAGACTTAATGACTTCATAGAATTATAGTCTACGTCGTTAATAATACTATGATAATAATAGACCTAATCCTAAAATTGTAAATATGTCATGATGTAAAAACCTATAAATGGCTATCGTCAAACTTTAATCAAATTGACAAAGTCCCGCTGAAGCAGCCGAAGGGTAAATTTACTGAAAATATCCGTCATGGGTAAAATTATCTGCGAGAAAACAACACTTTGCTTGAGGAACTGATTATTAGTCAGTTTATCAACTGATTTTGCTTTCAGATTTATCACTTATATCAATCATGTTACATGATTGTTAAATCGGGATATAACGAAACCATTACAATAACAACTCATGCTCTTCACTGGGTTTAAAGTATATGAGAATAGGCAGTGTCGGTTTGGATGCTGAACACTTTTGATTCTTCAGATCACGTCCAGGTTTATTGACTCGGAGATATCAGCACTTTCAAAATGGCTTGAAAAAAGTCACTGAATTTGGGCGCCCTGACTATATTAGAAATCTTGATGCGGAAGTATTCGTCAAAATAGTGCATGACAATTATGAGATTACAAGAGTAACAATGGGAACAACTAACTAGCGTTGAATTGCTTTGTAACCTAAAATATATAATCTATAAACGATACACTTTTCCTAGTAGTATGTTTTCACAATCCTCAAAGCTGAACATTAGATAACTAGGAAAATGCCCATTCAACAATTAACATAAATAGAAGGTCAACAAAGGATAACTTGCCTTTACTCACAATAAATATATTAGTCTATCTTTAAACTCATCGTGCTCTTTAGAAACAAAGAAAGAAAAATCGCAAATTCCTACGATAAAACTGGTCAGAATAGACAATGAAGTGACAAGTGTAATATCAATTTAACTGAAATGAATTCAATGATTTACGATAGGGATAAATATTATTGTAACAGCACTTACGACACTAACACATTTTTTGCTACCAGTACCCATGTCACGAGTACAGCCCAGATTAATCCTTTCATTAGTCAACGTGCAAATTCTAATAGTCTCTTCGGACGAGTAATGTATCACTCGAACAACAAAACACTCAAAGTCAATGGTAGTTAGGCTTCGGGCACCTTTCATATGCCATGAGATTTAAGTGAGTACACATCTTGTGATACCACTCCTTACACTCACCGCATTGTATTCCATTCGCTACAGGAAACCTGCAATATGTTTGTCTACATTTGTGAGAGGAGCAGACCATCTTAAAAGCTAACTGAGAATTGTGACACAAAAATGGATATGCAGAAAATCTCAAACCTTAACCAAAATAAATGAAGTCAAAGTCGATTAAGTATGCTTTGTTGTAATAAATACACAAAAGCAACGTCGATACACACAAGTATGATAATACTTTAACTGAAATAAATTCAATGAAAGTGGAAACAGTGGCAGTTTACAATCAAAACAGTAAATTTAACTCAAAGAGAAACAATACCACTGCCCGTTTCGAATGGTGCGCCAAGTGATATTGAGACGGAATATGAAGTCGGGAATGTCATGGTTTCGTGAAGGCAGGTGTACATGTTGCTTCCAACCGTGTATGCTTAAGAAAATAAATACACTGAACCAGAGTGTCTTCCAGTTGATGGTGGAAAGATTGAAACCACCACGAATGATTTTTCAGTCTGGAATAAGAGAGACGGCCCTATCAAATAACTAACTTGTAGTCGTTCGTAGCCCTCAGTCTATAATGTGCACCTGTCCACAGCCACTGAAGACCATAGGACACACACAGTGAACCGACAGTACCCAGTCATCTTTACGTGGGGTACGTCTGACTAGCACCAGACCTACTCATGGCACTGAGCTTTTTGAAGTGAACCTCGACTCCGCTTTTGCGTGCTAATTAAAAGGACAGTAGCAGTTTTCCTCGCTGGGTAAATTCTATTGTTTGATTGTTTATTACGTATCAAAACTACCATTTTCACTTTAATTATTTCGGTTAAAGTATTCGATTAGAGTATTGTTTCTGTTGCTATAGCAGATTGTCGTCGGAACTTTTGAGTACTTTGTTTTCTATTGTATCTGTTAGTACTTTTAGTTCTAACGATCTACAGCTTTCCAATTTTTTGGTCATATATCATTTTTGTCTCTGAATATTATTGTATCTAGTTCTTTTTTTTTGGAAAAAGGCCCCAGTTTGATGACTGGATAGTGCAAAAAAAAGAAATTGCTTATGTCCGGGTTTTCGTTATCCCGTTGAAAGTGGCATGCAGTGCGATAAGTGCAAAGGCTGGTACTACGAAGTTTGCACGAATTTAACGTTTTCAAACGGTTCGGTATAAACCGTTGCGTATGGCTTCGTCAACAGTGCTGTTGGGATACAAACAGCTTGCTAACCGTGGCCATCTCATTGGTAAATGCTGAAAAAAGCGTTTTGACAAGCGTCGTCGAAACACATCGGACGGTACTCGAACTGTCGACACGCAAGTCAGTGTGAGTTCGAAAACAGCTACCAAATCAACTCATGCCTCAAAATATCTATGGAGTCACCTTGCTAAATGTGTACAGACTAGATTCAGAGAAAACCAACTAAGCTGATTCCCGGAATAGCGAAGCTTCCTATGATGCACGACTGGCCAAGCGAAGCCTATTCCTGTTGTCATATCGTATAACTAGAGGCGACTTGATTACAGTTTTCAGATTGCTTATTGATAAATTTGCACCTGATATGCCCTCATTTTTCTTGTCTTCCAATACAGAGAATTTACGAGGACACTCTAAAAAAGTTTGCAAGCCCAGAACAAATTACTTGCCAGATGACTATCGACTTTCCCATC